GTCCCGTAATTCCATTAACTTTCATCGGGGTCGTTAGGTTCTGGGTAAGTAAGCCTAGCTGGATTACCAGGTCCCTGCTGATGAGGTTTTGTTCCGCTCTGGAATCGCTGAGTGCTGCAATCGGAAGTTGACATTGTTTAGACAAAATGGTCACTGGGAGTGTTAAACGAGGTGCAGGAGAAAAAGAAGAATTTCCCACCAAGATCTCCTGCCTTAATGGTGAGAGAATTCGTTTCCCCGGAGCGGGCAATGAGCGACAAAATGTCCAATCTTACCACAGTACACGCAGGCTCGCGCTTTTCTACGTTCCTGTTTCTCTTCCGGTGTTAGGTGAGCTCGTCCGATCTCCATAGGTTCCACCTCAACTTCGTTTGAAGAATGAACGGACCTCCTCTGAGTAGAACGAGCCTCAGAAACAGGAGTTGAGCCAGCAGTGTAGCAGTCGTAGTTTTGTGGTGTGAGACGTAACCCGGAAACAGGGGTTCTCTGGGAATTGTAGTTCTTTTCACTATTCCGTTCTAAACGGCGATTATCCAGACGAGTGGCCAATTTTATTAAATCGTCCAAACTATTGGGTTCGTCTCGGGCGGCAATCTGATCTTTAATATAATCGGACAATGAATGAAGAAAGGTACCTCTTAAAGCCAACTCATCCCATTTTGTTTGGGCTGCAGTAATCCGGAACTCGAGAGCGTGCTCGGCGACAGACCCTCTGCCTTGCCGTAATGTCAGGAGGCGCTTCACTGCTTCCTCCTGCTGGAGTGGATGGTCAAACACAAGTTCAAAATCTTTTAGAAAACAGGCAAAAGTTAGAGTCTCGACAGATCGAGTTGACAGGTGGGCGTTGGCCCATCGAAGCGCATCCCCCTTTAATTGATTTATAATGTATGTTATCTTGGAAGCATCTGAAGCATAAGTCTTAGGAGCTCGATTAAAAGCCAAGCGACACTGCAGAAGAAAACCACCACAGTGATCGGGATCACCAGAAAAATAATCAGACGGCCTGAAAATTATCTCACTGGGCTGGGTGTCCATGACTCTGGTTGCGACTAGAGGATTGGGGTTCTCTGGTGGAACACTCCGGGACGTAGGTAACAGTGTAGAAACTTTTTGAGTTAAAGCAAAAACCATACCTCCCATCTCCTGGAGGTTGGATTGATTACTCTTCTGTAGTTCCAGGATCTGTTGCAGGGTCGCATCATGGTTGTCGATGTGTCTTGCCTGAGAGGACAGGGAGAGTTGGGACTGTTCTCTCTCAGCCACGTTCTGGGTGATTTCTGGCTGGAGCATTCTGTTATAATGTGGAGTTACCCAGGTGAACAGACTGAGAGGAAAACAGAACCAGACTCAAATGTAATTGAAAATGTTTATTTACAGTGATAGAAAATAAACTATTTACAAGCAGGTTCAGGGTCTGTGAAGACAGAGGAGGAGGATTATTCATGGACGAGGATTTGGTCCAACAACTGAATGTTTAGGTTCTTTGGAAAGGCTTACAGTTCAGGTAGTTTGAATGGCTGTTGGATGGCTGAGGGTTTTGCTCCTTCCAGATGATGAGAAGGCAGACTACAAGGGCAAGTGGTGGAAGGCGAGTTCAGGCAGCTGAGCACCAGGATGCATAGGTAAGTATCTCTTCAGGATCTTCCTCAATACTTCGAATTACAGGACAGGATCCGGTACATCCAGGCTCTGAAAACGTGGACACAAAACAAGGTAAGTCTTTCTATATCTTTAAGCACTGTACAGGGCTGGAGGCATATGTACCGGCAGGTCAAACAATGCTCCAGCACTGACTGGAGCTCCACTGGAGCCTTAAGTACTCCTGGCATCAATTAAGGAAACTGGCCTCAGCTGCAGCTGCTCATCAGCACCACCCCTGCCTTCAGGAACCTGGAGGAAGGAAAATATCAAAACCCTACAGTTATTTCAAAAGCTTCAGAACTGAATGTTTGTTTATGAAAATGTCTAAGTAATCTCTCTTTAAGATAATCTATTGTATTGTTTTCCTCTTTTTAAAAGAGCAACTTTTTAAAGGTAGACAGAGAAAATGGACTTTAGATGTTATAAAACATGAAAGAGTTAGGGCCATCCCTCTTCCGAGAGGTGGACCAAAGTCAATCTGTAACACACAGACAGTTAAGTTAGGTTTCACTTCTTCACTTCTGTTTCTACTTCCACTCTTCTTCATCACATCTTCTTCAAGCACTGAACCGAGCAAATCAGAGAAGAAACTTCCTCCTAGTGAGATATCCTAGGAAGAAAGAGAACAAGAGAAGCAGCCTTTTCTGGAAACCCTGCAGAACCAGAAACAGAACCTGGGAATAACCTGAGATTTGTTACCAGAGCCATCGCACCACAGAGTGGAAAAATCCCAGCTGACTCCCATATGGATCCTTGTCCCTCCAAGACGACAGGTGAACTTTCAAGAAAAAGCAGCCTCTCAGTCACCAGAACATCTGGACTGGTATCATTTTTAAGCAGCTGTTGGACCATTCTGACCATCTCATTCTGGTAGGACAAGAGACCTTTAATGTCTTTCTGGTGATCATGCATCACAATAATATTGATTGATATACACTACAGGAGGCAGCACGGTGGCGCAACTGGTAGAGCTGCTGCCTCTCAGCGAGCAGGTCCTTGGTTCAAACCCCGGTCCAGGGGCCTTTCTGGGTGGAGTTTGCATGTTCTCTCCGTGCATGCGTGGGTTTTCTCCGGGTACTCCGGTTTCCTCCCACAGTCCAAAAACATGCATGTTAGGCTGATTGGTAACTCTAAATTGTCCCTAGGTGTGAGTGAGAGAGTGAATGTTTGTTTGTCTCTATGTGGCCCTGTGATGGACTTGCGACCCGTCCAGGGTGTACCCCGCCCCTCGCACAGTGATTGCTGGACATGGGCACCAGCGACCCCCGTGACCCAAAATGGAATAAGCGGGTAAAGAAAATGGATGGATGGATGGATACACTACAGGTAATTTAGACACAATTTCAACTACTTCACAAACAGAACTAGTCCAAAATCTGCCTTTTTTAAGTTTCACTGATTTGAATAACCAACTAGACCTTTGATACAAAGCTATTTGTTATTCATTTGTGTATTCATTTTATGCATAATCTTCATCAGATATATCACAGATTATTATTTTTGTAATAAAATTCATAAAATCAACTAAATTTGTGATTATTTTGGCATATCTGTGTGTATTACTGATTTGATGCCTTTTAAACATGAGAAAGTAATTCACTAGAGCACAAAACTTGAGTCTGATTTAATCATTTTCTTACTTAAGAACCAGAAAGCAAGTGGTGCCCCTTCAGAATAAAATCACTAATAAAAATTCAACAATCTGAGGACCCTTTCCTCTACATTGGCCATTCCCCGACATCCCTCGATAACTGTTATAGATCTCACCGGAGGGAAATGGCTGATTATTCTTCCTTATCAAAACTCCTACAGAGCCCACAAGGGCGTCCTTGGACATCCTCACCACCCTTGTCATCTCCCCCCCTCTCGCGGAATGTCTACGTCACCATGTGCTTGTATGTGTGAAGTGTTTTTTTTCAATATCAAGGGCTTTCTTCTCAGCCAAGAAGAAAGAGTTTGATAGGATTTTATTTTGCCTCCAATTCCTACATGTGTCCAGTTTCACTGCTTTTTTGTTTGTCTAAACAGATATCACTTGTAAATGAGTCTTCAAGGATCAATGTGATTTATCTGTCTTGGAAGAGAAAATACAGATGTGCTGGATTCTTTTGACAAACCTTCTGTCTTGGTAGTGTAACAAGCGCTATAGTCACACTGGAGCATATGACGGTCACCCCCAAGGAGTGACAGCTGCATCGGAGCAGACTGAAATATGTGGAGGTCCAAAAGACGATCCAGGTCCAAGATCCCTGAGTTGTGGCAAGGGTCATTCATAGGGCAGCAGAGGGCAGAAAACTTAATTCAATTCAATTCAATTCAGTTTATTTATATAGCGCCAAGTCACAACAAAGTTGTCTCAGGACACTTTGCAGAAACATTCACATACATAAAAGCCAATTAGAAAAGTTCTCTATCTAAGGAATCCAGCAGACAAGTTGAACTTAGTCAAATCCGTGATCCAAAGTCGTTGTCGTTGTGGGGCACAGCGTCAGAAGCAGTAGGCAGAGAAGGTCTTAAAGGTGTATCTTTAAGACATATTGTTAGCATGATTAACTCTGTCACTTACAATGTTTCCAAATATCTGGCGTCTGTACTCATCCCTTTAGTTGGCAGCTCAGAACACCAAATACAGAACACCATGGACTTTGTGGATAAGGTGAGGGATGTCATCATGGAGACTGATGAAAGAATGGTCTCTTTTGATGTCACATCACTCTTTACGTGCATTCCTGTTGATGATGCAGTAGAGGTGGTCAGTTTAAGATTAAAATCAGACACCACTCTGAGCAGCAGGACCACACTTTCCACAGAACAACTGTGTCAACTCTTGAAACTGTGACTGCAGTCGACCTACTTGACATATGGGGAGCAATATTATAGGCAGAAACATGGGTGTGCTATGGGGTCTCCAGTTTCTCCTATTGTTGCCAACCTGTACATGGAGGAGGTAGAAAAGTGAGCCTTGATGTTCTTTTCAGGGATACCACCAAGTCATTGGTTCAGGTATGTTGATGACACCTGGGTTAAAATTAAATCTCAGGAAGTCCAACATTTTACTGACCACATCAACTCTGTGGATAAATACATCAAGTTCACACGAGAAGATGTAAAAAATGGCAAGTTGGCTTTCTTGGACTGTGAGGTCTCAGTCTCTGATAGAGGACATTTGCAAACTGAGGTGTACCGCAAACCCACCCACACAGACCAGTATTTGCAGTTTGACTCCCATCACCCTTTGGAGCACAAGTTAGGAGTCATCAGGACTCTGTACCACAGAGCAGACAGCGTCCCCACTAACTCAGGAGCCAGGCAGAAGGAGAAATCCTACACAAAACAGGCTCTAGAGCAATGTGGATATCCTAACTGGGCCTTCCTGAAAGCAGAGAAGAAACCCAAACAGGACTCCAGTCAGCCATCAGGTGAAAAGGAGGAACCCAGACCCAGACCAGTGGTCATTCCGTATGTTGAGGGAGTATCCGAGAAACTGAGACGTTTATTTTCTAAACATAACGTCCCAGTGGCTTTTAAACCCCAAAATACATTACGGCAAAGACTGGTTCATCCCAAAGATCCAGTCCCCCGGCACAAACAGAGTAATATTGTGTATGCTGTTCAGTGTCAGGAGGGCTGTGATCAGTCTTACATCGGGGAAACTAAACAGCCACTGGCCAAAAAGATGGCCCAGCACAGAAGATCAACATCATCAGGCCAGGATTCTGCGGTCTACACTCATCTCCAGGCCAGCGGTCACTCTTTCAGGGATGAAGATGTTCACATCCTGGACAGAGAGGAACGATGGTTTGAGAGAGGAGTAAAGGAGGCCATCTTTGTGAAAAGAAATCGTCCATCATTAAACAGGGGTGGAAGCCTCCGGGTTCAACTGTCCCCCTCTTACAATGCTGTGATTGCTAGTATCACTCAGCCCTCGGTGAATAGTAAACAGCCATCAGTGTGCTAATGATCCATTGTTAGGCTGATGGTCCTTCTTGAGCATGTGATCAGCTGGTTTTGGTTGTCAGCAGCAAACTGGTTGATCCATTCTGAGAAGGTGCTATTTAAGAGACTGAGCTGAAAACAGCACCTCAGACTGAGGAAGTCTCTTGGATGAGAGAAGAAACGTTTCTATATTTTTTTGCTTTGTTTTTTTTTTTTTTTTTTTTTTT